TGACAAAACTTTTCTCTATAAAACAAGGATATCTTACAGACACATTGCAAGGTCCATTCATTTCTGAATGTTGGTAAATCATTTCAGTAATTTCACATTGTATATCACACCAGGTTTGCAATATGTTTACTCCACGGAGAATCTGTGAAATAGTTAGTACAAGTATTATTATCCCAATTTTACAGATGAGGAAACTGACATTTTGAGAGTGACAAGAACACTAAAATGGCAGAGTAAGTCACTGGCTCCTCTACATTAGGAGGCTCATAGTTTTAGGGCTGAAAGGAACTTTTGGGATCATTAAATCCAACTCCCTCAAATGAGAAAGCTGAGACCCATGGAGATTAAGTGACTTGTTCCTCTGCCCATGCCCTTTCCAATGTACTTACTGTCATTTTAACTGACTTGCTCATAAGTTAACTAATTTCTTAGAGTCTCAGGAGAATTCAAGCCCAGCTTTCCTAACTGTTTATAGAGCTCCATCCCTAACATCATACTGCTTGTCTATAGACAGCAATATGAAAGGATGCTGAGAGAATAGCTTCTCAATCACATGGAGGTTATTGCTTTAATACCAAGAACGTGAAGGGCCAAAATGTGATGAAACCTCAAAAGGATTCAGGAAACAGATAATGAATACTTGTAATGAGCTATTTATGGGACCAGTAAAGCTAAATGCTGTAGGGCAACGAGGTGGCACAATGCATAGAGCACTGGGCTTGGAGTCAGGAAGATTCATTTTCATGAGTTCAAATCCAGACTCAAACACTTATTAGCTATGTGACTCTGGACAAATCATTTAATCTAATTTGCCTTAGTTTCCTCATCTGTAAAATGAGCTGGAGAAGTAAATGGCAATCCACTCCAGTATCTCTGTCAAGAAAACCCCAAATGCAGTCACGAAGAGTCAGACATAACTGAAAATGACTGAGTAACAAGAAAAGCCAAATTCAAAAAGTCCTCAAAAGATGGGCAAATGCATTTCAGACTAGGTCTGACCTTAGATTTAGTTAGACTTCCATTTAGCTATTTGCCGCTATGATTTAGTTCCTAGAAAAGAAAATTATGACTGATACAAGAGGCAGCAAGGGGCAGTAGAAAGGCATGAGATCTGGAGTCAAAGAACCTCAGTTCAAAACCCAAGTCAGACATGTGTTGCCTTTGTGTCTATGAACAGGTCACATTAACCACTCTGGGCTGAGCCTCTGATGTTCTCATCTGAGAGAGTTGGACTTGGTGACCCAAAGGTTCCTTCTCATCCTAAATCTATGAGCCTGTTGTAAAGGAGCCAATGATCTGTGCTCTCATTTGATATTCTCATTTTGGCCCTTCCCAACTGGGCACTAATGGGTATACACATCTATTAGTGCCTAGGGAAGCCATTGCTCCTCCTGCTTTAACTACAATGGCATATTTAAGCAAACTTGTTTCATAGAATGAAACAAAAACTGCTTCTGTGTCCCATGGAAAATGAACTAGAGTTTTATGGTATTAGAAAGTCCTACACTGTTCATATTTGCTCAGAACTCATACACAGGGCCAATGAAATTCGGCAACAAACATTTAGTCAGTTTAATAAGTATTTATTAATCATGAATTAAATCCCAGAACACTGTGCCAAGCTCTCCACCCTCACACTGATGAGACTATAGCAATTTGTAGAAATGAGGCACTACAGAACATTATAGTGCATATAAAAGTCATTTTAAATGGGCTTTTATACTCCTTAGTTGATTCCCTAGATATAATAATAGTTTTTAAAGGACTATTTCTATAATGAAAGAGGTAAGCTTATTGGAGGGAAGTACAATATTTCATTTTATGAGGTATAACCAGCAGATGGGAATATTAACTCAAAGACTTCTGGCCTGATCAATGATTCTACTCTGTGAATTGGCCTGCCTGGAGGCCCTGATGGGAAACTGAGGATCATAGAATCGGAATCATACAGGATCTTTGAGCCTGTGATCCTCAGCTCGCTATCAGGAGCTCCTTCTTAGGGAAGTTTAGAAATCATCTCATGCAGCCCCTTTGGTTTACATTTGAGAAACAGAGACCCAGGAACTTGCCCAAGGTCACACAGGCAGAAGTGGCAAAGGCCAGGCTTGAATTCAGGTCTGCCTTTTTACTTCAAATTCAGCCACTTGAGTTCAGTGTCCCTAGAAAATGAATTAGAGCAGTAGTGTTTATGGTATGGGAAAGCCCTATACTATTAGTGTTTGTTCAGAACATGGACATATGGTTAAAAAAATTAGTCAACAAACATTTAATCAGTCAACAAGTATTCATTAGTCACCCAGGGCACAGTATTAAACTCTCAGTCCCACATGTATATGACGTTGATGATTCAGCAATTTGTGGAAACAAGGCTCTTCCCACTGTACCATGTTTTGGAGTTCTTACAACCTATAGAAATATCATTACCTCCTCCCTGTGTGATAGCTTCTTTAGCACATGGACTAGCCACAAGTTCTCCTGGGCAAGCCTCTTCACAGGGTTTTTGATTTAAGTTACATGAGGAGCAATACCTTTGAGGGTTGTTAGTATGAAATCCAAGAATGAAACCAAAGGAAGGGATGTTCTAAATGCAGTTATTCTCCTTACAATTGTCCAGTTGACAAATGCCATTTATCGAGGGCATACCCACATTGCATCAAGGGCTGTAGAGGAAAATTTCTAACAAAAATGCCATGCAATTAAAATCTGGTCTGAGAAAGTGTGTTGCTGATGATACACAAGAGTGAAGTGATTGACCACCATCTAGCAGATAGTCAAAATTCTTTCCATTTTCTCCACTTTGGAGTCACTAACATTAATGTTCCCTGAGTTAAATTTCCTGGAGAAATAAAGTTTCTTTCGTTAAATAAGAAGTATTGAGTTTCAGTCAATCATTGTTTGTCTGCAGGAGCTGCTGAGGCCTTTAGACATCCCTGACCACTCCTGTGAAGCTTCAGTGAACATAGATAGGCCTACTAGAGAGCTTAGACAGCCCCCAAAGGGAGAGATTTTTTTACTTTTTTTTCTAATTCTTCACTATTTTTATGAATTGTTGGATCAGATCCTTATCATTCTAATCACTCCTGAGGGTGCACTGAGTTCCATCTCTGAAGTAGCATTATTAGAGGAGAATAAAAGGAAGAAACCATCTAGTTTCCTTCTCTACTTAGCCAAATTCATACCTTCCCTGAATGTTCAAGGCCTTGGGGTAGTATCCTTTATTCTCTAAATTTCACAAATAAGTAATCAGAAGGAAAAAGATAATTTCCTTTGCAATGTAAAATACCATATTGGAATGAAACAGATCAGATTAGGGACTATCTTTTTATTAATATAGGAAACTCCCAGATGAGGAAATTATCTCTATCAAAACAGGTTGACACCTCATTTGCAACTCAGAGAACTGTTCCTTTAAGTGAGAAGTTAAGTGACTTGCCCAGGGTCACACTGCCAGCGTGTGTCAGAGATGGGATTTGAACTCATCTCCTGGCATTCTGAGTCTAGCTTTTTTTTTATTGGGCTAAGCTGCCTCTCTTATTGGACATAAAATAGTATAAATTTTGTAGACATTTTACAAGATTAATCTGCCATTATCTGGAGACTTTTCTGTTCCTTCCTTTTACTGTTTTTTTTTCCCCACTTGCGGGTTTTGTATACAGAACATAATAGTCCATATGAAACTTTCTAATTGCTCCTATCCCTTAGATCAGGGGTGAGAAACCTGTGGCCTCGAGGCCACATGTGGCCCTGTAGATCCTCAAGCATGGCCTTTGACTGAATCCAAATTTCACAGAACAAATCCCCTTAATAAAAGGATTTGTTGACAAAACAAGAAAATGATAAATGTTAGAGAAAATGTGGGAAAATTGGAACACTAATGCATTGCTGGTGGAGTTGTGAAATGATCCAATCATTTTGGAGAGCAATTTGGAACTATGCCAAAGGGCTATAAAAATGTGCATACCCTTTGACCCAGCAATAGCACTTCTAGAGCTATATCCCAAAGAGATCATACAAATGGGAAAAGGACCCACATGTACAAAAATATTTAAAGCAGCTCTTTTTGTGGTGGCAAAGAATTGGAAATTGAGAGGGTGCCTATCAATTGGGGAATGGCTGAACAAGTTGTGGTATATGAATGTAATGGAACACTATTATGCTGTAAGAAATGATGAATAGGTTGACTTCAGAAAAACCTGGAAAGACTTGTATGATCTGATGCAGAGTGAAGTGAGCAGGACCAGGAGAACATTGTACACAATAACAGCCATGTTGTGCAATGACTAATATTAATAAACTTAATCCTTCCCAGCAATACAAGGATCTAAGACATCTCCAAAAGCCTCATGACAGAAAATGTTATACACATCCTAAGAAAGAACTACGGAGTTTGAATGCAGATTGTGTTTTGTTTCCTCTTTCTGGTGGTTCCTCCTATTGGTTCTAATTCTTACTTACAACATCACTAATGTGAAAATATGTTTAATAGGAATGTATATGTATGTGTATGTGTATGTCTAGCCTATATCAGATTGTGCACCATCTTGGGGAGGGTGGTGGGAAGGAAGGGGAAGATAAATTTTAAACTAAAAGCATATGGAAGTGATTGTTGCTAAATCAAAATAAATAAACTAAAAATTAAAAAAAAGGATTTGATCTGTAAAACTGAGACTCAGTCAAAAGGTCGCTTCCAAGGACCTAGAAGGCCACATGTGTCCTCAAGGCCCCAGGTTCCCCAGCCCTGCCTTAGATCATCCTCTAGATATAGTATTATTAGTATTTGAAGTTTCTTTGAACGACCAAAGCATTTTGGACACGTGCTGAGAAGCATATGTCATCACGCTTTTGTTATTGTTGTTTTTTAGGTGATCTGGGACAACATGATGGACACTAACCTTTGGAATAGATTCTCTTGTACTCCTATGAGCTGTGGCATAAAAGACACCTATATTACTGTTTACCTCAAGTAAAATCTTTCTGTATTATCTTTTTTCTCACTGCAGAATATATCAAGCATATTTGCTCTGTAGAAGGCTGGAAAGAACTAAGCCCGAAGGAGTTCCAGAAAGTTTTCTTAGGAAGGATAGAAAATGCCCGGTGGAATCTAAAAAGCAGCTTACAGAAAACCTCCTGAAGATGTGTCCTTTCTTCCCACCATTTTAATCTGCAACACTTTTACCCAAAGGAAAGTTAGATAATTAAATAAGGGAAAGTTCCAGGCTGTAATTTCATACTCTTCAAGTAAAAAAGACAAGTGCATTCTCCTTCAAATATCCTATGAACAATCCACAATGTATAAGCATATCCCAAGTCATATCCTCCTGAGCCAACAACATTTCCTTATGACATCAATGATATATGTCAACCAGACTTAATGTGGTGTAACATCCAAGAGGACTGGCCTTGGAAGTCAGGAAAACCTGAGTTCAAGTTCTCCCACTGAAACATACTGGTTATGTGACTGTGGGCAAGTCTCTTAACCTCTTAGGGACAAAGGTAACTTTCTAAGGTGTCCTTGGGGCTCTGTCCTGTTCCTTCTTCTCTTCTCTCTTTATCCTATGTCACTTGGTGATCTCATCAGCAACCATGGATTCAATTATCATTTCTATGCAGATTATTTTTAGATTGATTTATCTAGTCCTAACTTCTCCCTTTGCCTCCCATCTTGCATCTTCAGCTGCCTATTGGATATCTCAAAATGGATGCCACATTATAAACTCAATATATCCAAAATTAAACTCATTTTCTCCTCCCAGTTTCCCTATAACTGTCAAGGGCACTATCATCCTCACAGCCACCCTCACAACTCAGGTGTTACCTTCGACTCCTCAGATCTTTCACATTCCATATCTAATCTGTTGCCAAGTTCTGTTGATTCTACTGCCAAAATTCTCTCATATATACCCCACTCACTTCTGTGATCACCCTGGAATGGGCCTTCATCACCTCACATCTAGATTATTGCAGTAGTTTGCAGGTTGGTCTCCCTGCCTCAAGTATATCCTTGTTTCAGTGCATTCTCCATTTAGCTGTCAACGTAATCTTCTTAAAGTGCTGGTCTGAACATGTCACACACACCCCTAATCAATGAACTCCAATGGCTTCCTATCACTTCTAATATCAACTACGAAATCCTCTGCTTGAGGTTGAAAGACCTCTTCCCACTCCGCCCTTTCCAATTCTCTTTCACCTTATACTCCACCATGTGCTCAGTGATCCAGTGACAATGACTTTCCTGGAAATGTCTTGAGCAAGAAACTCCATCTCCATCAAGGGATATTTTCACTGGCTGTCTGCCATTCCTGGAATTCCCTCCCTCCTTATCTCAGTATCCTGGTTTCCTTGGCTTCTTTCAAATCCTAGATAAGATACCACCTTCTGCAAGATATCTTCCCTAATCTTCCTACATGCTAATGTTTCCCCCATACTGCTTATCTCCAATGTGTCCTGTATATATCTTCTTTGTTTTCATATTGTCTTTCCATTAGACCATGAGCTCTTTGAGGGGTGGCACTATTTTTTGTCTTGCTTTGCAACCTTAGTGTTTAGTACAATCCTTGGGACATAGTAGGTGCTTAAGAAATGTTTACTGTTGATTTGCTGTTGACCTACACTGATAGAGGGATATTCCTCACTAGAGATTTACTGGTATAGAGAACAAATGAAAAAAAAAAAGTACAGTAACACAGTAACTCCACAGTAACAACACATGTTGTTGTGTCCTTCATAATCAGACACAGAAAATGATGCAAATTAGCTTAAAACCCCGTAAGGTTAACCCTACCCTCACTGTCAGTCCCACTTGTTCCCCTCTTTAAAATAAAATAAAACATTGTTCCCATGGGAGTATCTCATTCCTGTAGTATTTTTTTTTTTTTGCATTATCATAGGAAAACTCAACATCAGGCTAGGCATGGCTATGTAAGTTTTATAGCTCATGAAATGAAGTTCAACAATTATATTCTATGAATAAAGACATCTATATCCATGCAAATTATGCATTATTGTGATTCTTTTCATATTGTCCTCAATTAATGACAAGTCATTATTTTTTCTTGCAAGACCATCATTACTTACATCCCTACCTCTTTATTTGATAAACTATCTCTACCGAAAATGAAGCATTTCATCTCTTGTACATTCCAAGTGTTTTCCTTTTCTTCAGAGGAGTCAAGCCTAGGCCGCAATAATGAACAGTTTTCTTGCTTGAAGTAAGAGGGCATCTTATCTATCCATATACCTCTGCAATTGTGTATTTCTAGCTTACCGTTTACTTCCATTATCCAACTTCTACCAATGTTCCATCCAATGTCCCTAAGCAACTGTGAGACTGTAGTAGTTTGGCAGTGTTCCAAGAGTTTAACAATTTATTCACAGGAGCTCCATCTCAGTACAAAGATCACAAAATCATCTGACCATCGCCTGGAGAATAGTATGTTCTTTCCATCAAATGTGATACTTTTTCCTTGGTTAACTGAGTACTTAAAAATGTTTTCCTGCACAAAATGTCAACTGGTTAAGTTTTAGGATGGTTCCTAAGTATGTTAGTCATGCAGATTGTAGCATTTGCCTCTTTATAGATTAGTCTCTTTTCCTGTACTCAGACATTTTTAAAAATAAGATTTTCCTAAAGAAGCTGCCCCCCCACACACGCCACTACCAAGCAGATAAGATGATTTTATGATGATGAAAGGAAAAAAAAATCTTCCTAAGTCCTTATAGCAAATAAACACAGCTCATCAATTTGAATACAAGTACTGATCAGTTTTGAAAAAGAGGATGTGTTAAGGCCCTATTTGAAACTATAAAATGCACTCTATATTTAAATATTTCATTTGTTATTATGAGTTGGGCAGGTAAGAGCTGAAGAGAGACAGACAGACAGAGAGAGAGACAGAGAGAGAGAGAGAGAGAGAGAGAGAGAGAGAGAGAGAAAGTAAAATAAGAAATAAACTTACTCATTCTCTCTCTTTTTGGTCCCCATCCCATGTTTTGTCAAAAAAAATCTATTCTGGAAATGAACACATCGGTATTTTTAAAATATCATGTTTTTATTTGCATTTTTAGAAAATGTTATCCAAGATAAATAATAGAAAGTAACAGATGGCTAAGATAAGGGCTGCTAGGTGGCACAGTGGAAGTGGATGGAGTACTGGGCCTGGAGTCAGGAAAATTAATCTTCCTGAGTTCAAATAAGGCCTCAGACACTTCTTAGCTATGAGACCCTGGGCAAGTCCCTTAATCCTGTTTGCCTCAGTTTCCTCATCTATAAAATCAGCTGGAGAAAGAAATGACAAACCATTCCATTATCTTTGCCAAGAAAACCCCAAATGGAATCACAAAGAGCCAGACACAATGAGAAAAAAAAAACAACTAAATACATATGATTCTTCATTCTTCAATCTCTGGCATTGTTTTCTATTAATTTTTTCACGTCTTTCCATATTTCTTGGTGTTCCTCTTAATTCCTGGTCTAAATGATGTTAAATCCCAGCTACAACCATATGATAGGAAAAGCTAATAGTAACAAATGGAGAAGCAGAATCCTGATGTGGAATTAGAGGGAATGAAAAAAGAAAAATAATCTACCTTTGGTCTTTGCCTCTACTCTGTTTCACTGAAACATGACATTCTAAGATAGTGATGTCAAACTCAGATAAAAATGAGGGCCACTAACCCATACTTAAAGATCTCTATTGGTTGCATGTTGACTTGGAAAACCACACGTTTATACATTTCTTTGTTACTAATATGTTGACAGATTGAAATCAGATAGAAACTGTGTTTTAATCTACTTCAGCCTCAGTCAGGAGAGTTGTGGGTGGCATGTGACCTGCAGCAGCATGTTTGACACCTCTGCCCTAAGTCATGAGAATCTTGGTTATATGTGACTCCATAGCCTAGAGGTAAAAGGTCCTGAGTCATGTTGTTTCTCTCTGCTAGTTGTTATTGCTGTTGTTCAATCTTCTTTTTCCAGTCTTTTTTTCAACTTTTAAAATATGAATTAGCTTTAATAGTTTATAGTAAGTTTCAAGTGAAAACATTTGCTGTTGTTATCATGCCCAACTCTTCATGATCTCATTTGAGGTTTTCTTGGAAAAAATACTGAAGTGGTTTGCCATTTCCTTCTCCAGTTCATTTTACAGATGAGGAAACTGAGGCAAACAGGGTCAAAGGACTTGCCCAGGATTACACAACTACTAAATGTCTGAGGCTAGATTTTATGAGTCTTCCTGACTTCAGGCCTGGCATTCTGTCCACTATGCCACCTAGCTGTCTTTGCTAGTTAGGGGCTTAAAATGTAGCTAATAATAATAATAATAATAGCAATAGCTAGCATTTATATTGTGCTTTCAGGTTTGCAAAGCATTTACCAATATTATCTCATTTGATCCTCTCAACAACTCTGGGAGGCAAGTGCTATTATTATCTCCATTTTACAAATGAAGAAACTTAGGCCGAGAGAAGTCAAGTGACTTGCCCAGGATCACACAGCCAGTAAGTCTGAGGCAGGATTCAAACTCGGGTCTTCCTTGCTCCTAGTTCTGCACTCCATATATTATATCATCTAGCTGCCTCCAAAACTAAAAACAAAACTTGTAAGATTATTAACAAAATCAAAACCAAAAGATTCTCTCTTATTTGGTTCTGTCCCTAATTAGGAAAAACCCTAATTTTTTTTTCTAGGCAATAAGGTTAAGTGACTTGCCCAGGGTAACACAGCTAGTAAGTGTTATGTGTCTGAGTCAGCACTTGAACTCAGGTCCTCCTGAATCCAGGGTGGGTGCTCTATCCACTGTGCCACCTAGCTGCCCCCAACCCTAATATTTTTGACAGTGCTTGTTATTCAGTCATGTCTACAAAATATTTGGCTTTGTATCCCAATTCATGATCATACTTCTATGACTTTTTTCTTAAGGAATAGTAGCTTCATGAATGTCAAAGCAAGAAATTTAGCCATTATAGCCAGAGAATGAGAGCCACATATAGAACTGGAAGAATTTAATCCATCAGTCATAGGACAGCACTTCTGAAATAGGTGACAATACTTTTTCCCCCTTTTCAATAAAGAAAAATGAAAAAAAAATCCACCATTCCATAAGTTTAAATTTGAAGGACCAAGAAAACTTTCACTTGAAAAATAAACAGGTTCAAATTATTATTCAATTTTATCTGAGGAAGAGTAGAGTGCTGGAGGCATCTACTTTTCAAAGAAACTATAAGGGCGTTGATTATCAATATGGAGTCTCCGTTTATAGCCTCAAGGAATCCTTCTGTTGCCATTGTCATCATAGCAGGATGCCTGAGTTCTGTTGCATTCACAGCTAATTGACTAACTGCAAATAAGAACTGCCAGTTAATTTAAAAACACAGTGTACTCTAGGGAGTGCTTTCCACTTCAACTCGCATTGACTAAATCCATGCTTAACCATACTATTGAACTTCCACATGCCCATCAGAGGAAGGGACCTTGTTTTTAATTGAAGGAGACTTTTTGGGATCCCTGATACTGAATGAATGAATGAATTAATTAATTAACTAATTTTACTTTATCATTAACTTAGTAGATTGACAGACATCAGAAAGCCAATTCATACTTTCCCCCAAGCTTCTGTGATTACGTGTGGTCCAATAGCACAAGATTTTTACCTTCTCACTCAGGTGCTAATTCATGATCTCTCTTTGGCTGAGTAGTTATCCATAGCTTGCGTGACTCCCTGAAATGTACTGAACCTGTAGCTTAAGCCATACATAGCCAAAACAATAGGTAGGAAAGGGGGCATTTTGTCAACAGACATGTAGTTCAAGTTAAGAAGTTTTGAGCACGATCATCAAGTGCTCATTTAAGGGCTTAGGTATTTTTTTCAACTTTCAAAATATGAATTAACTTTAATGGTTGGTAGTAAGCTTCAAGAGAAAACATTTACATTGTTGTTGTTGTTGTTCAGTCACGCCCAACTCTTCATGACCACCTTTGGGGTTTTGTTGGCAAAGATACTGGAATGGTTTACCATTTCCTTCTCCACTCTTTTTACAGATGAGGAAACTGAGGTAAATGCAGCTAAGGGCCTTGCCCAGGGTCACACAGCTAGGAAGCGTCTGAGATCAAATTTTAACTTGAAGATGAGTGTTTCCTGACTCCAGGCCAGGCACGTTCTCCACTGTGCCACCTAGTTGCCTGAAAACATTTACTGTGGCATTTTAATTTGAGAAGAGCTTTTTGTTGTTTATTGTTTTTTGTTACTTTTTTGAAAGCACGAATGTTTCTCTTGAATGAAGATTAGCAGAGCCCTAACTAGAACAGGGCAACTTAGCTCTAGTGTTCCACATGTCTTAAGCACATCTTCCTTGGGAGGGGCATGTGCCCCTCTGGTCTCCTTGTAGTCTCCAGCCGCTGTACCCAAGGTCTCCATCATGCTATACTCCTTTCCTGGGGCCATTCTCTCTTTGCATACAACTGCACCTGTGTTTAGAATGTCCTCTGGGCTGCTGCATCCTCCTCCTGCCCCAACAGTTTTTGTTTTATTTTCTTCAGATGAAATAATCTCATATTAAGATTCTGATAACTACCATGTGTTTAGTCAAAGAATTGGTCATTTATTTTATAACAATGAGCAGGCCAAGGTATTAACTTTGTCCTTAACTATAAAATGAAAAGAGAGAGGCTTGAATTTTCAGTCAGACTTGTTCTTCATCTGATGCTTT